GTAACTTCATCATAGACTTATCGATGGAAAAACATTCTCGTCGACTGAAATCTCGGGTATTGATCTCCTTCCAGGAGGTCCACTTATCGACTTAGAATACGCAGATGATATAGTCCTGTTTGGTGAAGACGCTGATAAAATGCAGAGTCTTTTGGTAGCACTGCGCAACAATGCTAGAATGTTTGGAATGCACTTCTCTCCCTCTAAATGCAAGTTGTTGCTTCAGGACTGGTCTGCGTCAACACCTGAAGTAAGGATAGGGAGTGAAGTAGTCGAACGCGTTGACAACTTCACTTATCTTGGAAGTCTGATCAGCCCAAATCGGTTGGTGTTTGACGAAATCTCATCATGGATTCGTAAAGCTCGCTTGGCTTTTGCCAACTTACGTCACCTATGGCGAAGGCGAGATATCTGTCTATCAATTAGAGGACGAGTATACCGCTCAGCAGTTCGTTCCGTTTTACTTTACTGCTGTGAAGCATAGCCATTAAGAGTCGAAGAGACTCGTAAGCTACTAGTATTTGACCACAGATGTCTTAGAGATATTGCTCGCATCTGCTGGGATCACTGGGTAAGTAATAGTGAGGTTAGACGCAGGGTATTAAGGAATGATGGTAAATCAGTTGATGAGGTTGTGAATCTTCATCGACTGAGATGGTCTGGACACGTGTTACGTATGCCCAAACACCGATTACCACGATGAGCAATGCTAACTGGTGTTCGGGATGGTTGGAAGAAAGTTAGGGGTGGCCAAACCAAAACGTGGCATCAGTGCTTGAAGTCACTAACTTCTAGTCTGAGCCATGTTGGTAGATGCAGACTACTTCGTTGGGGACCTCGTGACTGTCGTAACAACGGTTGTAGACTCTGGGTGACATGGCTCAGAATCGATCACAATGGCGTCGGTGTATACACTCTCTGTTTTCCCTTAAACTGAGAGATTAAAATCGCTTCATATGTTTATTTCCGCGGACTAATTCTTTCTTCGTGTACTATATCCTTATTGCAATCTTTCTTTTATATATTACCACCTCTGAACTAACTACTTTTATGAATCTGGTGTCTATTTTGTTGTGTTAATGAGGTATGGCAACTTGAACCGATGCATAAATGTGCCTGGTCCTACGTTGTAGCTAACTGACTGAATGTGTTGTATCTATTATACAATTATCTCTGTTGAATCATCGAAATCATCTGTTCATGAATTCATTTACTGTGGCTTAGTCAAGTATGATTTGTACGTTTAATTTAATCAAAACCAATATTAGTATAAGAAGTTTGTAAAGATTGTTCAGTTGAATACATTTTTCATGATCGTTAAATATTGCGCATTACCTATAGCTTAAGGTGTAAACCATTAGATACCAACTCAGTAGTAGTCCTAAGTGCTCCTTACAAAGCATGGACCATCTGGTTCAATCCATGGTGATGCCGTGGATACTTACTACAGAATAGTAGTCCTATACTGGAACAAAATAACTGTCCACTAGTTTCTGGTCCTCAATGTTTATCCACTTAAAGATCAGTCGTTAATGAAAAACTACGAAAAGAAATCAAATAGGTTGTGTCATTCTCTAATGAATAGAAACTAAATTATTCATAAATGTTTGAATCCTAATTGACAGCATTATTTATATGAATCCTTATAAGTTCAGTGAATCCATTTTCATGCCGGTGCACTCACAATCCGATATATACATTATTACAATTTTCTCACGACTGACTGAATGATGATGAAATGTACCGTGCAAGAATAATTCATACTTATTTAACATTATTGTAAACTAACTGACAAAATACTACGTAATCACTTTGTTAATTTACCTTATCAAACATGATCATTTGAATTGCAAATAGCTGTCAAAATAATACATCATTCAATCAATGAGAATCAACTTCGACCATTGCATAGCAAATAAATTTCAAGTTTTATATCTGTGATTCAATTGTTGTGAACTTCACATGTGCACACACCAGTTCAATAATACCATTACGGGTCCATTTCATCAATGTTTTCGACTAGCATTCACGTTCATCTCGAAACAGACTCCAAACAACAAAGTTATATACAGCTTCAAGGTTAAAAAATTACACGTAAATTGGAAGATTATAATAAAGACAATTGGTTGTAGTGCCCTGAAAAATAGATGCAAATTTCTGGTGTAGTTTTTTCTCTGAACTGCATCGTTTGGTCGTGGAACTTTCTTGTTCCTCTGAAGAACATCAAGAGCACAAACTTCAAATAGAAGTGAAGTGTTCGAATTTCTCCACATATGACTCACAGCTCTTGTCCTGTAGACCTCGATCTTGATTGATTATAGTTGACCTTTAACCTGTCATTGCTTACTTGTTTATTTTGATTGTATCTCCCATTGATTTGATTTTTGGTCCTACATTTGTCTATGATTTCTCTGATTGGTTGATAGATTGGATTACTTTCAACGTGTTTATTGATAGTTGATTGACTTGAGTTCCAAGCTCCTTAAAATTCTCTGATGTTTTTAGAATTCCCTTTACCCAAGACCCCAACATTTTCTCAGTCGGATGTGTGTCTACATGAATCGCTATAAACTAGGATACGTCATGGCCTTCAACTGCTAATTGATGTTCGTGCAGGCGAAGATGAAGGGGACGTCCACTTTATCCGATGTAGTGTTTTTTGCGGCTGGAACAATTTATTTTGTAGATGTTCAGTTTTTCTTTTGTCCTTTAGTTCAAAATTCTAACGTCTACAAGTCATACGTTTAAGTTAATTAGGAAAATACCTTAGTTCCATAATTCATTATCGGATATTCCATTTGTAATGAAGAATTGTAATTGTGAAATCAAATAGTTGTGTTATGTCAAAGATTTTCAATACTGCATATACATATAACTAGCACAATCTAAAATTAGTTACTAAGCTTGTTAGAATTTACTGTTGCTTGGCAATCGCAGTTATATCAAAATCATTACAAATCTATACCGAAAAATATATTTACTCCCTGTTCAGTTAATTTTTTTGGAATGATGAAAATTATTAATTGAAGAATATGCACGACACTTTCTAGTATGGAAGCATATTTTCCGCCTGAATTATTCTCTTTGAACTAGATTTCTTATGTTCAAATTCTATTTTCATGGATGTTATTTTAAACTATTTTTAATTTTCATCTTGAGCAATTTCCACCACATTTTACTACTGTAACTTGTAACAAACTGAACTGATACAATATTCATGTCAGTTTCTACGTTGTGCATAACTGACTAAATTGTAGTGTATAAGTAATATGATTTGAAATTAACCATAATCTTTATAGATGTATGTAATAATTGTTTATATATGGTATATTGAATATCGTCTAATTTTTCATATATTGTTTTTTATACTTATGTTCCTTTTTAATTTTATCTTGGTTTCTATATAATAAATCTTAAATAACTGCCGTTTCTGTTCTACGGAGCTTCTAATTAGTTCTCCGTTAAACTTTGTATTCTGCTAACTAATATTTCTTAGCTTATACACTAGGATTTCAGGTCATCAGTTTTATCTTACTACTACAAACAACTGAATCAATATCTTGGAACTAAGAAAATCATTTATTCATGTTTCGTTTTGCGTTAACTGATTAAGTTCTTTATGATGAATAATATTCATTCAGTACGGGGTTTATCGAGATAATTAGTTTTGTCGCAGTATAGCGGGGTCGTTGTTGTTCACTTCCGATGTGTCCCATACCGGAACGAAATAGTTTTCCAATGTTTCCAGACTTTCAATAATTTTGATTGAAATCATCAATCGATTGGTGTTAGACCTCCATTGAAAACCTGGAAGCACTGAACGACCGTTTCGTCCTATTGTGTGACTCCTTAACAGTGCGCACCCACGGTCCCGCTCGCGGGATTCGAACCCAGGGCCTTCAGTCTCGCGCGCGAACGCTTAACCTACTGGACCGGCATCCAGTGCTTCCAGGTTTTCAATGGTAGCCTAACATCAATCGGTTCATGATCTCAATCAAAACTTAAAAATCTCCACAACCCCTGTACTGACATTTTCAATAATTGTCTATCTTACATGAATAAAATCCATTTGAAATAGTCCTGTAAGGTACATAAATCATTGTATTATATTATGCAATCAATCTTTTCAAAATACCATGGTTTTTATACCTATTCCCTTTAAATTCATTTTTTTGTTAAACGTAATGTCATGCCTGCCCACATTCTTTTTCATTGCGTTACACTATTCACTACTATTAAGTAGTTCGATTTTTCACCAATCATTTTTATGCTGTAAATAGTGCCATTTAGACTCTTTCAAGAGCCTCTTGTTATAAATGTACATCTTATTATTTAAATATACTGCCCACTTACATGTGGTTACATTTTTCCATTTCACAAACATTAAACGACAGTCCTCCAATACGTTTATTCAGAGCAAAAATAACTACAGGACTAAGGTTTTCATATGTCATTCAACTAACTATAAATTCCAACATGTCTATCAACTTTAATCTCTATCCGCAGTATAATAATTTAATGTGTTCGTTTAAAATATGTGTGTTCGAGTACTTGATCACTTCGATAATCTTCGAATGTATATTTCATCTTTCCAGGGTAAGACCTTTTAGTTTATCGATTTTTTAAAATATTATTTACTTTAAAGTTGAGTTGCTGTGATGGACTACATATCCCTTTGATTCAGTCGGTAGAATCTTGGCCAGTTAGGTATAAATCATTAATTCTCCATTTCATATCCCTTAAAAACCTCTTTTATCACTTTTGTTGCCAATGATTGAAGTTGAAGAAGCGTTATTTGGCTTAGGAATCTAACCAGCAATTCTTGTATCACTTATCGGTACATTCAGTACAAGTCTTCGTCTCAACCAGTCGATATTTAGAAAGCCCTTTCAATGTTTTTTTCTTACTTGGAATATAGTTAGATTATATATTTATGATAGTACATATTACTGAGATGAACATTTTGACTACTTAACATACTTGTGTCCATTAATTCGTAGGCCGTCATACGTTATTTCCCTGAACGTCCTCAGAGGGATTTTATCAATCACCAGGGAACTAGAAGTAATCCTTCTCCAAAAACTGGGGATAACAAACCCGAAAAGCAAAATATTCAGAAATCAGATTTGATTATGCAGTCAAAAATAAATTCATTTAGGGCTTTTCCTTCGAAATGGGCAGATTCGAAACTACATTCACGTATTCCAACTCCTGATTCATTAGAGTCATCCATGTCTTTTAATAACTCTCCTCAACTTTCACCGATACCTAGCTCAGATCCGATCAGTTTCGATAAATCTTTTCTATCTACTAATGATATTCCAAATCCAACTGTTGACAAAACCTTTCAAACTGTATATTCACCTCTACATAATCCAGTGGCCGGAGATAATGAATCACATTATACTTTAAGAAATATCTCTAATAATTCATCGCTTAGAAATGTACGTAAAAGATTGCATCCATCCAATCGTTTGAAAATTTCCCCGATTTCCTATGATACATCTACGTCTGACAATAGTAATAATCTTTTAATTAATACTGAATCATTCACCGCCGCAGACTGTGATATTAATAATTTACAAGAAAAATGTACCAGTTTACCATTGTCTTCTCATTCACCGTCATCAGCTTCATCAAGTTCTACGGTTGGATTTTTCCGTGATCCATTTAGTTCAGATAATGAAGGGACATTAATTGACTCATCAAATATCAAGTTATCAGGACAAAGTAATAATACACAGATCAATAGATCATCAACTTATGGATTTCATTATTCACCTGGTTTATCATCAACTATAAAAAATAATTCCAATGCTTCAATTCATAGACTAAAATCAAAATCATCAAGAGGTCGTAAAACTCCATGGTGGGATAGAACTCGCGGAAAAAAATCCAAATCCAAAGTTACTAATATTAGTAGCAACACTCAATACGATAAACATAATGAAAATTTAACAGATGAGAAGAATTCACTAGTAAGTTTATCATTGCAGTGTATCATGAATAGGTAAACGACAATAGTTTTCAGATGTTTGATATTGGTTAAATGGAATATATTTTTATTTCTACTATTTCTTATTAAGAATGTGAATATGATCAGATAAATGTTTTCTACTCATCTAAATTATAGGGAATAAAGTGGTTCAGTGCATCGATTACTGAATATTATTTCCCCAATGAGGTTTCTTTATATTATTGCATCCTCTTGAATTACAAAAGTTCTCTTATAAATAAACCAGTTTTTTTTATCAATTCATACATTTATATTATCATTGAATTGTCTTTGTGTCTTACGACACGTTCAAATTTATTGAGTCGCACTATAACCATCTTTGTATTAATTGTATCCATCAGTTGTTATGACTCATAACATATTTCTTTTAGTTTCATAAATTAATCCTTCTTTAATAAGGGTTGCAGTTCTGTTGATTTGTTTAGTTTCTCACTGCCTTCTCTCTATAGAATTTGTTTTAAGTGTCCTTTTTTCCGCTCACTTTTCTCTACATCTTTCGGTGTTGTTTATATATATGGAATCTATTACTCCACGTTCTAACTTCCAATTTTATATTTGTTTGCTGAAATGGTAGTTTTGTATACGAAAAAAAAACAATAACTTCCGAGGATAGTTTGGTCGTCTATTGGTTTCCATAGCAATGATCAAACTCACAAATATATGTACACCTATTTATAGGCAACATTGTTTATCTGTGTTAGCTGCATTAAAATTGCAAATGAAAACAGATCATTATTCTGTTTTTTCGAATCGTATAAAATTTAAGGAATTCGTTAGCACTGAAATGCTGACCACATTGATATAATATGCGTAAAATGAGGCTATACAGGGAATCCTGTAACATATATTAAACTGTCATTTTATGCTGTTCAATAGCATTAATTATCTATCACAATCGATTTTCTGAACAAAGTAATTCTTCCATCAAATATACAGGTTTATATCATAGACTGAACTATGATAATGCCTGTGTGACATCTACTGATACATACTACTTAGCTGGGCAAACCAAGCTCTTAACTGTAATATTGCTTATTATTAATATTATTTTAGTGTTTACTTTTTCTTCGGTTGTTGGTTTTCAGGTTGAAAATGATTATCGACAGTTTATCAACACACTGTCCAAGTGAGTTGTTTTTCTATTGAATGTGTTTGGATTACTCATTGTTTCATTTTGATGTTTGCAAGCATTTACACTCAACATGTGTTATATATACACATCCTCATAAAAGATTATTGTTACACCTGTTGGAGAAATGAAGCTGCTTTAATTCGCTTCGTGCTTCAAAATCATTACATATTAGTTAGAGAAAATTCATTTGGGTCTATGCACATAACATTGACTCATGCCTATTATTGTATGCAGTACACATACATTCCAGCACAACTGAACGCCAAGAAAGTATGCACTACGTAGCTAACGATATAACATTATCGAGAAGTAAGTTTTTATAAAGAATATTAAAGAAAACTACAACGGAATCGTCACTGCCTTCTGTTGTGACCCATGCCTAATAATTTATCAAGCCAATGTGTTGCACCATCATTAGGACCACAACCATGTTGTCGTAATGGATCGATAGATGCCAGTTCTACACAACTTTTTTCATATCACAGATTTTTTCACTCAGTCCCGGTGTCGGCGAATAATGCACTGTGTAGAAGCAACTGAGAAGACATTCGTATAACGTATCCAAGCCAGTGTTTCGAGATGGTAACATCCGAACACACATGGACGAACATCAGCATTACTAGCTTGGGTTGCCATTGAATGTCAGCAGTCGTTCGAACACACAGAGTTGCTGTACATTCTCAAGTTGGAGGAACCAGTTTTCGCAATCATACAGTAAAAGTGCTCTCAGTAATCCCACTCTTTTCCAGGCAGACTAGCATCCAAATGGCCCAGATTGTTATATTTCGCTCGGACTTTTACTATACGTAGGTCGGTTGTGATGTAGTGAATAGGACTTGATTGACCGGAGTACGAGTGACATGCGGTATTGATTTTTTTATCATCTTTAATATGTAATCACATTTTATGAAAGCGTAACTATATAATTTACTAAATTAGGTATATTTGTTGCTCATAACCGTTTACTTTTATGGTACTGTAAATGTCTGTTCACATTGCAAGGCATTGAATAATTGATGTTCAATACTACTTGGTTCAGTTTATTCGAATCTGACTGCAAATGAATGATGTAAAAATAACGCACTTAGATGTAATTTTAATTTTTGGTTTTTAAATAAATCCTCATCTACTATATTCATATTCTTACTTGTGCCGTCCGTTTCATGAATTTCCTGCTGAAGTACCGAAATTTCTCACAGCTACAATAGATCTCTTCTTTTAGACCTTCTTCAGGACTCAAACAACTACCAAGATACACAAATTTGTCGACTATTTCCAGATCTTTATCATAAAGCTTGATTGCTGGCACATACTTCTAGCATTCTTAGAGCATTACTTTGCATTTACAATGTGCTGAGTACATGTCGTACTTATGGACATTAATTACTAAAGCGTATTGTCTTTCGACTAGTGATTCTGTCTTACTGAAATAAATGAGACAGTAATTAATCAACTGAACCAATCATATCCACATACATCTGTATATTATGAATAATGTCGGACCAATAAAGTCTTTATAGATGCCTACTGGAACGTTATAAAACTCTTCCTAGATTAATAACTAGATCAATAGATGCTTAATATATATTGACTCTGTACTCCCTGATTCGCTCTACTTATCGCTTCACAATCATGTTAAATTTTAGTTCTCTTGACGCATCACGATTTATCTATACGACTTTGAATTTTATTAGGTTAATATTACTTAAGGGTGCTTAAAGTAGTATTAGTAGCAGTGATAGATATCAAGGAAATCACTCATTTTACCTGAAAAGAAACCTATCAGTTTGCTGGGAAGTTATCGTCTTTTTTTGTCTATCTTCTCCTTCCTCCATTTTATTGTCTGACTGAATTATTTGCGAATTTCATTTTGGACCATTCTCATCATTACTTTGTAATTTTCTTTATTTTTTCAATCACCATACCAGTCAGTCCGTTACTTCATCTGTAATTCATGCTAGCAACAATATCAGTAATGATCTGCATAATTCTAATCAAAACATCCACAATAATCATAGTAATGCACGTAAAAATACGTCTTCACGTCTATCTAGAAAAAAATGCACTGCAATACAAAGCACTGTGAATAATTTTGCCACCAAAAATAGCAATGTAACAAAGTTCACATTTGATCAAAATACGCATTTCGCGCTGGGCTCATCAGCAAATACGTAAGTTCTTTGTCTTTTTCTATCTTCTCAGTTCATGGTTGTTGTAAATATTTTTTGACCGGTCAGTGGATATCACAAATAGTGTCTTACAAGTTCATTAGCTTTTTTCACTATCATCCGGATAGAGACAAACAGGTTTTCTGTAGTTAACCATAGAGCGGTGGCTCATTGATTAAACCACTTGACTATCATCCACTACTAAGTCTGAGGTTCGAACCACACCCCAACTAATTCAGTTTGGTTGACCACTTAGTTATCACTAGACCTCACATTTAGAATATCTGATAAATGACTAAGTCAGTCTAAAGTTATACTTGTTGTCTCTAGATTTACCGATACTAACCGGATTTAAAACCTGCCTAAGTTGAAAGATATTCCTTTTTCTTATTTAACAGTTTAAGGTTGAGGACAAAAATGTCTTAGTTGAAGGTGGTAAGTGGCTAATCTTTACTAACAGCACTAAAGACGTAATTTGGAAATGATTTGCATAATTTACTAACAATTAAAAAGTATATTAGCCAATGTCCCGTAAATCCTCCTTAAAATTTCTTTCAAGTTGTGTCTAAACAAATATTAGATTTTGATATGTTGAATTTATTTCAAAAAGTGTTCAGATTCTCGAAAATAATACATTGGAATTCGAAAATTTAAACAGTAACTTGACAAATTTATAAACATCGTTTTGTATTTTATTGAGATAGTTTTTTTTAGAAATGTTCATTTCGAACTGATGTCAGCTGAAAACTCAAGATAATTCATAAGAACTTTCGTTTAAATTTGGACGAATGATTTCACAGTAGTTCGGCGTCGAGTTAATGTGAGGAGGAGAAATGATATTTGTAAAGATCTCAGCAACTGAAATTTAAGTAAATCCAGCGTTTCACTTGTCAATCTGGTCCAAGCTTTTTCAAGGAAATATAATCAAACATCAAAATTATCGAATAAAAATACTAAGACCATCCAATCATGTTAACAACGTTGAAAGTAAAAATTTTCTGTAGTGCGTATGAGAAAAGTTCGTTAAAATAACAGTTCTCTAAAGTGAGAGAAATCTTGTAGATTATATGAGTTAAACATGTCACAACATGCATAAAATAAAGATAAATGTTGATCAAGCTGATCGTTGATCATATACTAAGATAAAGTAACGTATTAGAACAGCTGAAAGTAATCGTTTTTGTTCACATGATGGTAGATTAAATTGAGCGAGATGTAATGAATTCAGATTTACTTATTAACTATTTGTTGCCATGGTACAGCTAATCATATTCCATATCTCCTATTAATTCTATTTGGATTTACTCATATTTATAGGGATTCAGCTGTTAGTCTCTCTTTGTAAGAACTAAAGCCTTTTTGGAGGATCCTTGTGTCACGATAATTCAGTTACCATTTGTTAGTTGTTTCATCCATTTTAGTTTGTGACCTATCGTTAGTACACCTATTCACGTCCTTATACTCTTTGAATCGAATCCGAGATATTCAAATCTCATGATAATAGGATTAGGCCACTGAATCGTCATTCTCATTGGTCAACATTTATAAATTCAATGAGTTCGTAATTCATCATCATTCTAATTCAATTTCAAATATAAGTATATTTCTTGAATAACATTTGGCTCAATCCAACTTGTAAGGAATTATAAGTTCTCAATCCTAAGAATTCTCAAGTTAAAACTAAACAATTGATATTACTTATTTACTTACGCCTGTTACTCCCAATGGATCATAGGCCACCGAAAACACTAGATATACCATACTCAATGAATGTTTAGATGAAGTGTTGGATCTTACCTTTGTATATTTCTGGAGTAATAATAAGTCACATGTATCGATCTTTTTTTATATTGTTTAAACTATCAATGGACATTTTCTCATCTGAAATTATTTTTCAGTGTATTTACTTGCTTGACTCGTTTATATTCTTCCTTTCTCACTCTGTTGCTCCGTTATATTTTAGATGGCTTGGTATGGGTACTGCACGTGGTCGTATTTACAGTAAACATCCAGAATTATTTCGTTATATTTGTGATAATGAAGATAAAGCATGGCTTGTTCAAACTGGTCTCATTATTAGTCATGGTGTCAAAGCATATTTAGTTCATGCTGAACAAGTACATCAAATTGCTACACAACAAATTAATTCACATTCGTCAAAAGCTGATATAGAAAAACTAAAAACCTTTAAACTACTAATTGGTTTCTACAAAAAGTATGAAATTATTAGTATTTTATGTTGATAATGTATGAATCCTGATTGTGCTGGTATAAAAGTGTGTTAGATAAAAGTTAGGGACGGCCAAAATAAAACGTGACATCAGTACACAAAATCAGTGACTGTTGGGCTAATCTGTGTAGGTAGATTCCGACTACTTAATTCGGGTCCACATGGCTATTGCAACTAATGTTTGGAGGAGACGTTGGGCAATATGACTCAAAGCGAGTCAAAATGATGTGAATCAATTCACTCTTTGTCTTTCCCTAATTCTTTAGTCTTGAGCTTCTAAGGTGATCACATGCATAATTAAATTTTACTAAGAATACTGAAACCCCTTCAGAAACGATAACTCGCGCATTTCTTCTAATTCAATTTCCCACATTACTTTCGCCTTCTGGTTGATTGTTATTGCTCTTAGTTCGTCAAATTTCTGTATGATTGAAGGTCGTTTTGTACTGCTTGTCCTACCTCAAATATCAAGCTCCCTTCAATCCGTCTTCTTTCTCTATCGGCCATCAGGTGTTGATGTGATTTGTAAATTTCCTTTGTCGAATTCAGAGAGTACCTGTCGTATTAAAGCAGCTCAATTGTTTTTCTCCAAATCGTAGGACCGTACTAAACCCCGATAACGCGATAAAACATAAACTTATCTTATACTCGTTATTTCACAATCTTATCCTCACTTCCAAAATCCTACTATCTATGTCCAACATGTCCTATTACTACTACTGTAATCAACAAACACATGGCTAAGGTGAACCAAAATCACACATTGGATTTGTAAAATTTGAAAACAATACATTAAATACACTATTTGCCTATCTTCCCTGGTTTGACCCTTACAAACGCCATCGTTCTTCTGTTCCTGTTGTTATTTCGATTGGTTTCTGTTTTCCTTTCTCTTCTCTTCGTTTTCCCCTTTTGTCCGTAAGAGTTCTACTTTGAGTTCTTAATACATAATACTTATGCTTGTCCTTACAAGCAGTACACACCATACTACTACTAATGATATCATTATGACTTGTATTTGTGTTAATAATCTGAACTCTGAATGCGCTGATATGATTCGGTGAATTGAGCCCAAATACATATTTTGCAAGTTCTACATTGATTATGATCGTCTGACCGATAACCAGATTTTACTTGATCTAAATTATATTTCTCAATGTTTATCGTTTTTATACTGTTTAACTATTAATGATTATTTTCCTGAGTTCATTGTTACTATAGTTTCATCGGTGATCCATATCAGTTAGTATTTCCAACTTATTCGATCTAAGCATTTTCTTTTTCAAATTTTACTTTTTTTAACTAATAGTTAAAACTTATTACTGAAAGCTTAATCCAATCAGTCGTTTGAATAACGACTAAAGTAACTTGGCTTCTTGTTAATTAGATTTACTTCAACACCGTAGATACTAGTTATAAAGACTAGAGTGAATAGATTTTTTGTCTTCAACTCATTTAATCTAACTGGTTGGAGATTATGTTAGAATGAGAAGGGTGTTTCTTTATTGTTCATTTGCCGAATACAATTCTTCGTGGAAACTTTGTTACAACTAATTCAATAATTATGATGGTATGTTTATCCTTGAGCAGAAAACAAGTCAGTTATACCAAAAATGGTAGGCATTTAAAAAAAAACAGTCAATTGGAAATGGGGAAATACTTTTCTATGATAGAGACCATGTCACTGTTCTGTCAACATATGAAATGATAATTTAGAACAATTCAATGTTTAATTAGTTCACTACTACAACTGTAAAAGTGAAAGAGCCAAATAAGTCAACAGACCTTATCGTAGAAATTAGCAAAATTAAATCGCTTTTCTTGGGTTAAATATTTCCCTACCTTAATTTCTGTTCCAATACCCTCATAACTGAAATTTTTTAGAATTCAATTATCATTTACTCATTTTGTTGTTTATTCTTTAAATAAAAAAAAGGTTAAAACTGTCGCATCACGTCATTCATTTTTCGTTCATGTTATATCAACTGAAGTAGAGTTCACGAAGAACGAAATAGAAAAAAATAAACAGAACAATTCTTCATCAGTCGATGGACCATTTCCTTCTCCTTTTATACAGTCATCATCTTCGTCTATATCCCGACCAAATATTAGTCAATCCAAATCGAACAATTCAATCTCTTTGTCAAATCCAATGGAAATCAATCATTGTACTACTCATAATATTATTACTAATATACCATCATCTAGAAAAATCCTAGTATGTCTCTATTTTATTACATTGTCATGAAATCATCGGTAATCATTTTGAATTGACATACTGAAATCTTAAGCTGTTCAAATCCATATTGAAAATTCCGTAGTCAAGTAATATCTGGTAGGACTCTTGATGTGAACTAACAGTGTTAAATCAATAAATAATTAAATAGGCAAGTGAAACTCAGTGAATAGGTAATTTCCGAATTTGTGTATCCAACATTCGAATAACTACAATGAAGCTGATATAAACTGTTTGATTCAACAGTTGATTATTCTTGATTTCTATTATAATGGGGGTTTGTGGAGATTGTAGTTGAATTCATGAGTCGATCTAAGCTAGACCACCATTGAAAACCTGGAATCACTGAACGGCCGTTTCGTCCTAGTACGGGACTCCTCGGCAGTGCGCATTAACACAGTTGGATTCCGGCTCAGTGGTCTAGAGGTTAAGTGTTCGCACGCGAGACTAAAGGTCCTGGGTTCTAGTCCTATATGTGGGATCTCGAGTGAGCGCTGCTGAGGAGACCCTCACTAGGAAGAAACGACCGTCCAGTGCTTCCAGGTTTTCAGTTGTGGTCTAGCTTAGATCGACTCAATAATTCAATTATTCTTGATTTAACGAAAGTCCAAATCGAACTTGCTTGTTTTTGTTAACATGCATATATATAATACTTCATTTATTCTCACCTGTCCAATTTGTCAGATTGAAGATGAGAAGTGTGTTCCAATTATGTAATTATTCTACTTAGTTATTAGTTCAAACTTAATCCCAAAGGCTTTTTTAGCTTTTGCAATCTATTTTTACTGTCAATCATAGTGTAAACTTGGTCTACCTCTGGTTATCCTTATGTAAAAATCATCAGTGGCGATTTTTTTTTTTCATGATCAATTAATTCAAATGAAAATTTAATGATCCAATCCCTTTTACCACTATTCAACTCACAGATACTATATATTCTCACTTTTTCTACGTCACATCGAAAATACCATTAGGATTTAGATCATTTTCGTGTCTGAATAAATTCCTGTTTTAAATATTCACTACATGCTTCCATCTTGAAAAAGAAACTGATTTTCCTATTTATATAGAAAAATATAAGTACAAATTAGTCAATTTCATTGAATTAACTCTATTGAATAACCTTATATGAATAAAAAATAACAAATATTATGGGATTGATTAAATTTATTTCATTTTTTTGGTGCTCTAATTCTCCCACAAACTTACTGATTTATATAAACAATAATATGTTTTATAATGCAATTATGTATGTAACATGTATAAAGTCATTTATTTCACTAATGAAAAATAATTTTAATTAATATCCCTATTTATATAAAATGAACTTGTATGTTTGCAAATTCAGAAAGAAAGAGAGAATATGACTTCATCGCATGTGCAGATTTTTAAGATCACAATAGATAGATAAATAGATAGAATGATGAAAACGATAGTAATTACCAAAAACTAACTCTATAGTAATCATAATATTGATATAATAGTTGAAGACGTCATGAGAAAACGAAATAATATTGAAATGATAGGACCAGTTGTAATAACCATTAATTAGAATTGAAAGTATTGTAGTGAATAGAACACGGGTGGGGACAATCGAATTGTATTTAGCACAAAATTACAGAGTTACTTGGTAAAATAGAAAAACCATATAGTAAATCGTTCATTTGCAAAATATCAATCCATTGTCTCACATTTCATTGTTCATGCGTTTTCTTACAAAATGCTTTGTGTTCCCGCTCTTCCTTTCTTGATCTTCCCCCATCTTCTGCTGCCAGACATTACGTTTTTAACTCGTCATATACTACTTATATCAATATAAGTAGCACGCACCACAATATCACTAAACTAAACAGTGGAAGTATTATTGTAAGTAAATAAAGATAAGATCAGTGAAATAAAGCAAATTTTCGAAAATGAGAGAAATAATAAAGGAAAAATTATCAGTTAAACGATCAATATAACAGTGCCAAGTAAACTACAAGTTATTTTGTACACAAAATTGGGGTAGCAGCTGCCTCTGTGTGACATGGAAATTTGCCGTTATTCCGTATATTTGTCGCTCAGAATTTTCATTGTGTGTCTTCCCATGGTACTACTAGGTAGTTTGGAGCCATTCAAGATCAAATGTTTCAGCCTATGTTCCGAGTTTCTGTTATATCATACTCTCTCCATTTTTCTAACGTATGTGATGTAGTAGGTACAGGCGAAAAGCTTGAAGTTCAAGGAAAACATCCAATCACAACCTCAATTCTACCCTCCCTTTTCCAGGTGACACTAAAATCAGTATGATTTAGTTGTATGTCTTCGGTTCACCTAGTATATTCTGTTTAGGTTTTTAACAAGGAGAAAAGTGTATCAATCGATAATGTAAGAACTCGAATCATTTATGTTTTGCTTTTATCTTATGTTACGTATACCATATCACCATCTATTATTACACAACCAAAGTAGATTGATTTTGACCTACGTTTCACTCTTGATGTTACTGTAGACCTAGTGACTTAGTAACAATGATCCATATTACTCTTGTTATCTGTTTTTTTCTTCAACAACTTATATTTTATGGTTTTAATTTGATTGAATCATGTCTACTTGTTTGATGTGAGTTTTTTTTGTTAAAATTCAGAATTCTCCAGTTATAGTACCCTCCTCATCACCATCGTCATTGTCGCTGGCTTCTTCTTCATCTGTCACATCTAAATATTCTTTGGCTGCATCATCATCGGTGCAGGAGTATCATGACACGGACAATAATCAAAACAGTAATAATAATAATAATAATAATAGTAATGTTCTATTAAACCGTAATTACACCAAGTCAAATTGGAAATCAACCAATTCTTATTCAAAAACTATGTCTATCGACAACACTGATCAGAATAATAATAATTTAGTAAATACAATTCAGTCACTTCCTAGTCCCAACCCACCAACATTGGAACGTTTTGATTATACTACTAATAGATAAATAGTTAGTAATATATGTATGCATGATGTTCAGTTTTTGCTTTCAATTAATACTTGGTCTTTCAGTTCATTCGATTGATTTATTTTTATTCGTTCATCCAGTCACTCACTTGTTGCCATTTCTTTTCGATCCTAGAATATTCCGTTATTTTTCTCTCTCAATAACTCTTCTTATTTCATTTCCCATTACGTGATAATTTGCTTGTTGTTGATAATCTCTAATATTTTTTTATTCATTAATTAAGATGATAAACTGTGTATTGTTGTTGTGATGGTGGTAGTTGTGATTATTGTTTCATTTGTGCATTTCAACATAAACAAACAAACAGATAACAAAAGAAAGTGAATAAAAAAAAATAGACCTATTTGAAAAGTTTCTTCCTTTGTCAATGAAATTATCATTTAACTGTCCTCTTTGTTCTTTGAAATCCTGTTACGTTTTCTTCAATTTTTTTTCCGTGTATGTGCATGTGAATGTAATTGTTTTGTATTAAAAAGAGAATATTGTACATACAATAAACATTAAAATATGGCTGTCTGTATATATGTATTTAATATCGTTACTGTAATAATGGCTGTGTACTAATTATTTTCATATTATATCATCATCTATTATTTTCACTGTCGTCTGGTATTGATTTCATCCTATTTATTTTGTTCCCATATTATTTTCCTTTTTAATGAAGAGTAATTCAGCTCATTATGTGTATGTATGGTTCTTCTCTTCTCTATCTTTCTCAAGCTTGATTTGAATCACTACATATTATAAATACACATTTCTGTTTTTGAATAGTCAGTATTCGTTCATATAAAATCGGTGCTGTTATTTGCTTTAGTTACGCAGTTCATACTTACATATATACTACTACTTCTACGATGTCTTTGTATACTACCTCTTTTTATCTTCTGATGCTAACAATTCATCATTATGCTTTGTTATGTTTGTGCTGTGTGTATATTTTTGTTTAAGGGGGGGTGTCTGTATAACTCATGTATGGCTTCTGGTTCACTCATTTAAAATGTCATGTTTTTTTGAATAAATAGTCAAGATGTATTGATTCATTAATAAGTTTGACTGTGAAAACAAATTGTTATTGCCTTTCATTTGAAGATGTCATTCTCATTTCTCGGTTCCCCAGTTTTATCGACGCTTGCTATAGATTTTATGTAACTGACATCAAAATTTCGGTAATTTAAGCCATTCAGTATTAATAATTTTAGGAAGGCTGTTATAAAGTGATCTTGATTTTAAAGTAATGGAACTACTATGACTTATCTAAGTCTCATTAATTCGTATTAAACACCACTACACTTTTTTAAAATAACACTTATTTAAAATTGCCCAGTTTTCGAGCTAAGATTGTTAACGTCATTATCACCATTAAGGCACGTCGTTTTTCCTATTGTGTCCAGTGTCACTTTCAAAGCAATATGATGAAAATTCACAATTTGATTTCACTCAGTTGTGCATTTATCATTTTAGGTTAATTCCCACAATACATTTCTGCGTTTGTAAACAAGAATCGTTTGTTTACTCAAGTGTTAATTGTTTGCGATGCAAAACTTCTTGATTTATATGATTCATTTATATTCCTCCAACTGGGTCTTAGGTTGACTAACATTTTAGCTAAGATCTGGGAGTTAGACGATATCTCATCTGACTGGTCACAATCACTTATCGTCCCCATATATAAGAGAAGGTTAAAATCATTCTGTGACAACTATAGAGTGATTAGTTTAACTAATATAGTATATAAAATACTAGACTCGATAATTATCAGACGCCTAACTAAGACTCATGAACTGCAAACACGAGAGACTCAAGCTGGCTTCAGACCTGGTCGTGGCTGCATCGACCACATATTCACCATTCGTCAGGTTCTAGAACACAGGCATACTTATCAGTATTTATAGTCACACAAAAATAAGCTACACACATGTATTGAGTAACATAAGATGTACACACACACACACGCTCATATGAAAACAGTCAGAGTCAAAACGTGACTCAAGAGAAATGGATAAATTGGCCTATCCGGAAGTGTAATGACTGAAGATGGCACAAATATTCAGTGTTTGACAACGCTTCTACCAGTAACACCTTCTAATATAATTCGTACCCACCAAGAGAAATCAAAAGACAGAGTCGAGGAGATCGGAAGAGTGCATTTGGCGATTACCAATATATCGGAATTCTCTGATCTAATCTGGCTAGCGATTGCGGTTGATGTTGAGCACGGCGTTCCCACACGTGATCTGGTGCGGATGCATGACTGAGCGCCTTCGGCTAGATGAGTCCACTAAAACATATGGTCTGCATCCAATGTCGAAAACTTAGAGCTATTTATTTTGAGGATTTATTTACCGCTCCCCCCCCTGGTGGGGCAGTGACGACCCTAAGACGTGGCCAGCCAGAAGTTTAAACCCAGCGAGTTTGTCGTTGGTAAACACTTCTGATAGCTTGCTAGGTTTAGCAGCGTCTGGTCGTCTTTCCTTACTATATGGGACCGAGGTACAACATAGTAAAGAAAGAAAAAGTACAATGAAAATTTCGACTCCTCGTAAACTTCATCGTTCTTTTCCAGCCGTCCTGGAAAAGAAAGAAGAAAATGTAAGTGCGTGTCGAAATACACTCGTACGCGCGTAAAAACACAATGCCGGCGAAAAAATGGAAAATAAACTCATGCAAACGTAATTGCGTTAAAACGAATTTGTTTTTTTTTAAATAAAAATATATAAGCATATTAAAATTGTATTTTTTCTAAAATATATATCGTAAAAAGAAAGATCGAGATAATATTAAATGTCTAGTAGTGCCTTACGTGCAATAGTCGTTTAAATGCTCTGGAAATCTAACTCTTCTTCCAGAACGTGTCGTTTTAAGTTTATTTTCAGATACATTCGGAGTATCATCGCGTATGTTGGTTGTCGGTTGAGGAATTATGAGTGTAGGAGTCGTGTTGTGCGATTGTACCGAAGGGAAATCGACGTAGATAGGATTCCCTTCTAGATACGCTGCTTTTAAGCGATCGATGCTGATGCTATCGTTCGTTCCGTTCTTATCGACTATATAGTACTTAGATTCACGTTGAAGAACTTCGAAAGGTCCTTCGTATGCTGATTCGAATGGTCGTCGATGCGAGTCTCGAAGAACGAAAACGTGTGTACTATATCGTAAGTCAGGTTGGACAAAAACATCGGTTGATTGTGGTCGAGTGGAAGCAGTTTTAACTGAACGCATTGCGTTTGTAAGCCTGTTTGTGTAGGAGGTTAGATCCATGTTCATTGAAGAGGATGAAGGATCCACGAATTCTCCTGGAAGTCGAAGTGTCGTTCCATAAACGAGTTGAGGCGCAGTGTATCCAATGTCAGCTTTCACTGCATTGCGAATACCTAGTAAGACGAGTGGAAGAGCGTCGGTCCACTGTGAAACGTTTGCAGCTGATAGTGAAGCTTTTAGTTGTCGGTGAAAGCGTTCTACCAACCCGTCTGCTTGTGGATGGTAGGCGGTCGTTCGGAAGCGAGTGATTCCTAAAAGTGTAGTCAGACGACGGAAAAGATCAGATTCAAACTGACGTCCGCGGTCTGTAGTGATGGTTGAAGGGCAGCCGAAGTTTGCTACCCATCGTTCGACGAAGGCGCGGACCACTGTTTCAGCAGTGATGTCCTTGATAGGTACTGCTTCTGGCCATCGAGCGAAACGGTCAACGCAGGTTAAGAGGTAAGAGTACCCATTAGAATCTGGTAAAGGTCCTACCAAATCCAGATTCAAATGTATGTATCATCAATTGAAAATGAAATGCCTGGCGGCAGAAGGTAAAGAAGATCAAAGAAAAGAGAACGAGAACAGAGAATGATTGATATGGAAACAAAGAAATAATCAAGTTTGAGACAATTGATTGGTATGTTGCAAATGAAGAATTTATTGTGTAGTTCTCAGATTTTACATTCAAACTGATATTCGTATTCATTACATTATCTCATTAAAATATTTAATCGTACCACAATATGTATAAATAGTCTCTCTCAATACCAGTTATTATGTCTACATTCTAAAATGTGTTTATCATTAAACACTATATTAGATGGTTATATAATTAATTAGAATACTTTAATATAAGGTAATCATTAAATCAAATCACCGACATTTCTTGTAATGAAATATTGATTATTTCGTGTACATTTCTAAATTATAACAATAATAGCTTCAATAAGGAAGTGAAGTAAACATAGTTGAAAATGTTAAAAGTTAAATAGAGTATTAAAAATGTCATCTGTTTGAACTGTCAATAATTTACATCAATATAAAATGATTTAATTTAGTAAACATTACTGTAATGACTTTATGTCTGGCTAGTTATCACGTGATTCATCCACCAATCGAAATACGACTTATACAATGTTAGCACTATGCCAAACCAATGACGTTCGACCGGTATGAACAGCCTAGCGTCATTATTGGTCCTATGACCGCCTGGACCGTCCACTTGAGTCCAGAACAACAATACCAGCTTCCACTATGTGAATCAAATCGAATCGTTTATTTCAGATATACCGGGTTTATATATCAACCAGACAGACCTCAACGCATCATAAAATAAGAAATAGCATTTGTACACAATAAAGCTGAAAAGTGGCTGTGAACGTGGGAGGCAGTAGTTAATAAACTGAGCATAATTTGGGGACAGTAAATCGTATAATAATCAATTATAGGTGAAAATGAAGCTTATAATAAGGGGAATATAAATATACATAATCTAATTATTGAATAGTTATACCATAAGAATGTATAGATAATATTAGTCAATTAATATGTCTCAGAAGTTACTCGTGATTTAATCTTCGGTCGGATATAACAAGAAGCTAAAATAAGTTATATGGACTTAACATAGTAACTAACACTACAAATCACTTCATACATAGGAACTTTGATCGAATTACTACGTATATAAGTTGAAACTTTTGTAAACATTCTGACTTACTACATTTTTAAAAAAATAA